GGGAGAGGGGAGACTGCCATATACTGCACTTTCCGCCTTATTACGCCATTCTCTTACGTCTTCCCCAGGAATTATAGCTATTGCGATGGGGAAAACAAACATGGCAAGGTCCAGGGAGCAATTTTTCATCGCAATTCATGTCGGCATATTCACTTTTGTTTCGTATTTGCTTTTTCTGGGCAGTGAAAACGGGCGCCTTGTGGCCTCTCATGAACACCTACATGGCCAGGGTGTTATTGCCATCTTTACGCGGTTAGAGCCAGTTTTTACAGGTACGACTGTACTGCTGTTGTCGTTCTGCCGTATATGCAGCTGGTACACGGCCCTGGGCACCCTGGGAGACTGGATGCACCACGCGGAGCGCCTTCACATGGTGACATTAGAGCTTCATAACAGGTACATATAGTACGACAGGGGTTAGGTACGACTTTGTACGGCAAGCTAAGTATGGAGAACATTTGTACGGCGCTGCTTTGTACTGAGCAGGAGCCCTGTGTGGAATGCGCACACTCTTACTTGTCCCTGTGGCACCTGCCACAGGGTGGCAGGGGGGGGGATAAAGCCAGTGTAGGGGTGTGTAGGGGTGTATTTGAATTGGGCGGAGCCGCAAATAGTGCATAGGTCGTACGGGCAGCAAACGACCGGACTTTGGCGTGGATTGGCGGCAGCGACAAAAGATGTCGAGGGTGGGAGCTCGGGAATCGATTGAGGGGGCTCCCGCTCGAACTTCACTGAAGACAAGCCAGGCAGGGCGCGTGTACGGCACCGTACGGCGCGCAACGGGCAATGTTTTCACACCGAACAAACTGATCAGTTTGCTGTGCAGCTCTGTGGCTGTCGCTGTCGCGCACACCCTCTCCTAGCGATACGCCGTAGCAACCAGCTCACCATCCTAACAAACTTGGCAGTTGATAACCGATAACCGACAACCGATAACCGACAAGGTGCTAACGCTAGCCTCCCCTCGACCTCGGCGCACCGGTAGGAAAACGCCCACAGCCAGCGACCTGGCAACGCTGTACGGCCTTAACCGCGGGTCGTTATTTCGGTTTGCGGAAGCTGCCCACTTGGGGCTGCGAGCTCGGCTGCTGGATGCAAGGACGCGCGCGCCGCTCCGCGCCGACATACTGATGGACGAACCTGCGGGCATCTGGCCACCTCAGGTGAGATTCGTTGGTCGGTGGTTGGGTCGGCGTGTTTCTGTGATTAAATGAGCTTAGCTTCGATATGGAGGTGGCGTCGGTCGTTGCGACATGAGTGGGTCGTGAAAAGAAAGATGAAGTTAGTTATTAGTTTATCGCGAGTACATTTGCCTGTGTGTTGCGCCACGCTTTTAGAGCTTGTACAGCTTGTAGAAATAAAAAAGGTATTAAGTTTATTTGGACCAACCGGCCAGCCTGTATAGCTTGTGTAGCTTTTGAGGTTGTGGAGGTTGTGAAGAACCGAGGAGTAGATTGAACGCAAGATTGCATTGCACCGTCCTCTTGGGGTTGTTGGGGGTTGTTGGGGGTTGTTGGGGAGGGCCCCCTGCCCTTCCGTGCACAGGTCCAGGGCGTGCGTGTCTTTGATCTTCTTATTCCCCTCCCTTAGCTGCCCGTCTGTTGTTGATTTCGTTGGGAATCGTACGCAGGTCGAGGATAACGGCTTCATCTGGAAGATTTGCGTCCCTGGCGCTCGTTACAGTGGGACGATACAACCGTACGATATGTTCAATTTGTCCATACGTTATGCACCCATACGGTTCAGCTTCAAAGCCCCGTCGTCGTGGGATGATGTGATTAAGGGATCAGGCACAGAGAACTTAACGTTCGTGAGGGTCTTCCTAGCGCAACGCCTTTGAAAATGGGGTGTGAACTGAGGTGAGGCTCTGTTTTCTCACATTCAAACTTACCGCTTCGCTTTCGCGTGGTCAAATTTGCAGTTCTTGGTTAATTTTTGCTTGGGATTTGCGTATTTGTTATGACGTGCTTGGCTATTCCAGCTAAAATTACAATGACATCGCGATTGGGCCGATGGACAATATACGCAAGCAACAATCCGCGAGCGCATGCAAAGGTGTTCCGGCCTTGCCAACCATACTGACCTACACCGTCATACAACATGACATATAGTTAGGGCAGAACATTATGCCCTAAAGAGCTGGTTAGCGAATGAAATTTTTAGTGAGTATAGATTTTCACTGAGGAGTGTGATGCGAAGATGCTGGTTTGCACTGTAAGTCATGTGCTGCTGCGGCGTGAGTGTGTGGTATTTGCGTTGCAATTCGCGTTTGACCTCGAAGGGTGCCACCAGAAGATTGAGGGGGTTTCGACGTCAGGATGTCGCTTGCGGTGTGTGGCAGGAAGGAGTTGAGCTACTTGCCTAATGTGGCAAATTTTTCGAATAGAACCGACATCGTCGGTACGGACTAATATCTGGGGCGCCGGCAAGGACGCGCCGAGACACCATCGTGCAGATCATTTTTCCAAGCCAGTTAAAGGAAGGGATGTGTATAGTCTACGCCGTGTTGTGTGCCCGAAGTCCATAAGCGGCGCAACGCAGGCCAAGGGCAAAGCATCACAAAGCCTGTGGTGAAGCCTCTGACTTTTATGGTTGTTATTTTGTGCTTTTGGTTAAGGGAACATCAGGTTGTTTCTGTCGAAGGTGCCGGCCAAGCAGGCCAGGGCAAATCGTTGCTCTGCGAGTTTTAGTGAGATTTTAGTGTTTTGACTTTCATGCAGAGCGCATATGGGAGGAGCTTTATAACAATTCATGTTGTTATTTTAACAACAGAGGAAGCCTCCAGGGCCTAGGATTACCACATCCGCGAGAGGTAACGTTTCGGATCTGTTCAGTCAGCAGCATACAGTAAGCGCATCACTACGCGCGTTAGCGCAGAGGCAAAGAAGGAGCAAGGCCTCAAAATAGCGTTTACAAAACGGATGTTGTTGAGAGTCCTCTGATTTAAAAAGACCACTGCTGCCACAAAGAATTTTCCGGAGTTTGCGGCTGGGCGCGACCGTTTGTTAGGTCGTTGGATGGTTGGTTGGTCCGTTCGTAAGCTAGCCTCTAATCGGTGAGGATCAAATCACCAGGAGGAGGAACGACGACGTCACAGGGTCTAGATGAGATGAAACAGGTCACCACTTGCTGCAGCTTCGAGGTCCGTAGTCCACCAGGTGCTAGGTCATCGCGATTCCTGAATCTTTCACGGTGTCCTATCTATGACGCTTTTGCTGTCGACTGGCCTTGGTTGTCGCTGGTTGTGAGTCTTCCTGGCCAATTTCCTGACAGGTATAGCTCCGGATCCCTGTCTGTTTTGAAAGCGCGGAAATGTCAAAGTGTCCCTTTCCACGGGTGATGGGAATTGCGGGAGCTGTGCGCCCCTATCAGAGCTTATTCTGGCGGAGAATAGCTGGTGGTGGCGACATTTCGTTGGGCGCATGCTCTTGCGGGCTGCGGCCTGCGGGCACCCGTACTATTTAAGCCAAGGTCTTCTCAGCTACCTGGGATCGCATCATGATGTGAAGCGAGTGGTTGGGAGTGGTTGCTTAGCGGTACGCCACCTGTGTTTTGGAGGTGTGGCCTCACCAAAAAAGCGGGTGCCTTATCCCGCGTCCTTGCCGTCTTGCCTTCCCAAGGTGTAAATTCATGAAAGCAATGGCGGGCTGTGACTCTTCCCCCGCGTTATAGAGGATTGCTAGCATTGGCGACGTCGAGTGTCAGTGGCTTATGGCTCCAATATTGCTTCGGTTTTAGTGGTCGAAAAGAAAATTTGGTATATGCTGGGTCCATTACGAGGAGATTCATGATATGGCATAGCAGTCTAGATAGTTCGGTTGATTCCACATAGTTTTCCTTTTTGCGCGATAGGAGAATAATTTTTCTTGCGCGTATTTACGATGTCCCTTGACCGGCCATTGGGGCCCCCCACGGCTCGTGTGCATGGGCCCCCTGGTTACACCTTTGGAGAATAAAGCGCAGCTCCAGGAGGCGTACCACACACATATACACACATACGTACACACATACACACATACACATTAGTTCCTTTGTCGTTTGCTTTCCGTTGTTCGTTACTCGCACCGTTGCGACCCATCAATTATTACAAACTTGGCCGAGCCTCAATAAATCCAGAGTCATGATTTTTGTGCTGCAGCGCTGCCTGGAGCGGCAGCAGTGTACGGCATTGTTCTACGTATGAATTTTAGTCGTACCCCTGAGTCGTACATGCTTTTGGCCTTTGGTGTTTATAGATTGGCGCGAACGAACATTTAGGCTTGGTGCGTTGCGAGGCGGTTCTTTCTGTTGTCCTCCTCCTCCCCCTCCTCCCCCAGTTAGCGTCTGCTGTCTGTCTGTGCGTTTGTCTGTCCGCTTGTCTCTAGCAAGCGACGATTATTATTCAAAATGTTGCGGCTGCGGATTCCGACCTGAGGCGATTAATTTGGACGGCAGTCCACGTGATATGAATAGGGTTAACAGTTTAGACGAGCGATTTGGGTTATGCGGCGCCGAGGGAAGGCCCTGAATTGCTCCACATCCACGCCTGGGACGATCACAGCGTGTACGGTGTTTTTTGTGTGTAGTATTTTTATAAAAAATTTCTTAAATGACGGACAAAGGGACACATGTCCTAAAGCATAGGATTTGGTGCCTCAAACGGCACGTAGCGCATATGTAGTAGCCGGTTGCTGAAAGTTTGGCAGAAGCTCCGAATGCTTATTACCCCCGGCCGTCGACGTCTTCAGCTGCGGGTGTCGTCCGGGGGTGTAGTAGCTGTTCGTAATACGGCACACACGCTTCGTCTGTTTACAAATGCGCGCTAAGGCACTCCACCAGCATCATCTTGAGAGGCCTTTTCAGCGGCCAGCTACTACAGCATAGCACACACGGTGATGGATGCCGTCTCCGACCTGGAAAGAGAGGGAGATGCCGTGATGTGGCCATAGAGAAAGGAAGCAACATTATCACGATGCTGGTGTGCAAGGGAGTCGGCAACCTGCTTCATATGTCCCGTTGAATCGTTTGAATTTAGTTGCATTTGCATAGCACGACAATGCTTACCCAGAGCCATAACCTTAGCTTAGTGCAGGACTTGGGGCACATGCATTGCCTTAGAGGCATATCGCAGAGGCTGCCCTTGGTTGTCCCATTATGAAGGATGCTAGGATGCATGCATATGCTGTAGTACAGTGTGGTGTAGCACAATGCCTGTAGTGAAGGTTGTTGCTGGAGGTACCGGAGATAGCGTTAGTGAACAAGCCAGTCGGAGGCCGGACCGGTGGCGGGTCGCCGGGTTAAGGTTCTAGCCAATGTACGACATGCAAGCGTGCAGGAGCGGGTGTGACGTATCACTTGCTGGAGCGTTGCTGCTTAAAGTGTCCAGTGAAGTGTCCAACGGCAGCAGATTCTTTTCATCATGTTACGTGTTACTTTTCATTTTTGCGTTACTTGTATAGCTTCTAGCTTTCCAAAAGCCGGGAATGGCTGCTTTCACACATCAACCTCTTGTACATCGTGACTTTGCAAAAGGCAGGACTGACTGACAGTGTAGCAGCTGACCGCTGTGTACCGGCTGCTACAGACAGGCTGTTCACGGCTGGACACGTACCAAGGCGATCGTAGCCATACGTTATCGCCCAGCCTCTGGTACCTGTACGCCAAAGCGCAGGGCACACACCTTTGCGCCGGGGCAGCCGGGTGGGCCCCCGCAGCCAACCTCTGATGAGCCCTCCCCCACACGCATTTTAGATACCCCACATGCTCTTTACGCTCGGCCTACTCCAACACCGTGCGATCAGCGCTCCCCCCTTACTCCGACCAACCTAACCTCTGCCGGCGGTGTGTGTGTGTGT